CAAGTCCTGTTTTGAGTGTTCATGAGACCTAGGTAAAGTCATATTTTAGTCCACTTCAGCGTGCATAGGAAAGTCTTTTGTTAAACAAGGCAAAGTGAAATTCAATAGCATCGTGAGACCGACTCATTCTGTCATTAGCAAACGTAATTCATCTTAAGCGACCTAGTGTGAGTTAGCTCTAATTAAAGAATTACTGATATCAAAGATAGTACTCTTAACTTCATATAAACTCGAGAATGATCGAACAATACGTCGTTGATCTGGGGGTGTATATCATATGAAAGGAAAACTCAATGAATTTTTATCATAATGGAAGGAGGACGTCTCACAGATTGCATCAGCCTAAACGTCTATGTAAAGCCAAACAGTAACATCCAAAGGGGAGCCCGCTGCCGCCTTATACTGAGATAGATTCAGAAATGTCTTTATCATACAACTTCACCCTAAACACAGATTAATTTAATCTAAAAAAAATTATATATTTCTTATGTGCAGACATGCAATTATGTAATTATATGTCTGCACATAAGAAACATACTTAACTCTGTAGGAAGTGAATATACATTGAGAGTAACTAAATTGTAGATTTATTGAGTGAAACGAAGATTATTATAAACAATACAATTTAATGAAGAAGAATTAATGAAAGTAAACACAAAAGTATGAATCCATGTTATTGCTCGTGAATTTTATCCAGAAAGCCTAGGCATGAAAATATAATTAAGTGTAGTACATGTATGTTTAACATCCATACCCACTCCAAGCAAGAACTATGAAAATTTGGTGCTGTCCTGATAGTCATAATTGTCCCCCGAATCATTTTCGAATTCTAATTAATTGAGATCAAAATAGCAGTTTAGTATAGACAATGAAGTCTTTTAGGAAAAAAAGCAGAGTTAAATTAAATGGGTAATTTGTAGCTAATCCTAATTTTATACGGCGTTTAATCCTTAAATAAATCTAGTGACTTTTATTCAGCACTGCCAATTGAAAAGTGAGTACTAATAGAGGATCTGGATAAGTAAAAAGAGAAAAAATGATATCAGTATACTCCTACGAACTACAAATGAGGCCAGGATAAAGGTAATCTCTGGGTTTTATATGCCTTCGTGAACTAATATTTAACCAGATTTCGCTTAATTGTCCAATATCTTGCCTTAGTCTAATTTAAAATACAAGAGAAGGATGAATCGCACTAGTTTGACTATTCAGCACATAATTTTTTTAGAAAAACTTACCATCTTTAGCACATACAAACTTCGCACGCCATGCCAATACTCGACGAGTAGCATGAGCCTGAAGAAGTGCACATAAGACACCCATTGGATGGTAGTGGGTTATTTCGGTTGTCCTTATAATGAATTCCTGTATGAACGCAAAGCAAATAAGAATGCTGATTAAACAAATGTAAAAGTACCATTCAAGAGAAATTTTTGCGACTAACAACGAGTAACTACTCTAAGCCTTTTACCTTCATGCAAAACTCAAAGGATCAATATAAGTAAGAAAAGAAGGCCCTTAAATGGAATATGGTGGATACATATCATATAACTGATTTACTGGAGGTCTTACAATTCTGCTTGTAAACGAAAAATAAGAGGACTAAACATAAATCATATAGATAAAAGAATCTATAGAGCAAAAAGGGTTTTGATAACATAAAATCTGCAGTAAATTCGAATTACTAGCAATAAAAGGCTATAAGCATTAAATTTTGATTAAACTCGACAGCTGTAGATATAATTTCAAAAATACATAGTGCTAAAAGCAAAGAAAAATTAATAAATCGATTTCTATATTTCTTTCCTCAAATTTGTCCATGTCAAACTGTAATGCGTATAGAGCAGCAGGAGATACACGCATAGCGCCGCCGTTTCCATATGATCCAGTACCATTGAATTGCATGGACGAAGGAGCAAGTGGATCCGAGACTTTTCCATTCTTAAAGGCAGAGAACACTGTTTTAATATTGGCACCATAGTAGCGATGCATGCCATTTTCAAAGAACTCCTTAGAGTAGCTAAAGAAAATACATGCTTAATATCAATTTAAGTAGGTTTCAACATTTTTTGTAGGTCTTGTATAAGGACTGTATTCACCCTAGTTCATTTAAGATGAAGAAATGGTATTTAGATTTGTTCTCATCTTTATGAGTAGGCCGCATGTTTCATTGAATTTTACATAGACATACTTGCGAATAGATATGATTATCCACGGTGGACTGCCCTTGAGACTTCACCGAGGTCTCGTCAGCCCCCGCCAGCCAGACCAACACTTCCAATAGCATTGTGGCGTAATGGTTAACATGTCGATACCATATACTGCATTACCAGGAGTCAGGTTGCGATAGGGGTGCCAATGAGACCTATACGAAGCTTAAATTGTAGTCTAATGTTGATAAAAATACCTTTTTGGAAGGAAAGCTAAATAAAATTAAATTGAAATGTGACGCCTATTTTTATTTGGAAAAATTAGGCTACTAATCCTTCATAATCTTCAACAAAATAGGGTAAATACAGCTTCTATAGAATTATGTGCATTTTTTATATATCTGTAATCAAAGCCACTATATTTTTCGTTTATAAGTAAGTAAGTTATATAAGATGTATTCACCCTATTTAGTTAAAGGTGATGAAGGACTGGTAGTTGAATTTTCTAACAATGATATGAATAAAGATGACATTTCCATTGAATTTCAGATATACTTGCTTTCCCCAAAGTAATTCTCATTCAGGGTGGTCTGCAGTTTCGAGTTTGCCTAGGTATTATCAAAACCCCCAGCAAGAGTCGAAGCCTGACAGTGCCGCGTCTAAGTTCGAACTATCTTATAAACAAAATATAAATAACGTAGTCAATTGGTATAGCAAATATAACTTTGCTTCAGCGACACTCCCAACAAAGAATGTGATATGGAAAAATGCCTGGCCTTCCGTGAAATTCACATCTGCTCTGTGACCCAAGGGCACCTGTGGCAATATGGCGGAGTGATTAATGTGTCGAGTTTATACGTTGCACTGTAATGGTTCAACTTTCGCAGAGGGTGTTGATAAGACCTAGGCGAGGCCGAAAATACAGTCAGTCCTTAAGGAGAACAAATTTTAGGAAAGCAAGACTATGTGAAATCCAATGGAAACTTCAGCTCTATTCATATCATTGTGAAAAGATTCAATTACCAGTCCTTTATCACCTTGAACTAAACAGCGTGAATACATCTCATACATAGCCGCTATATTCACCATAAAATCCTGTTAATTTAGTTGCTTATTACATGCAGGACTAATGAACAAGTAAAATCTATTATTGTACTGAAGTATTCTAAATTAATTAGCGATAACAATAAAACACCAAGTTATTACGAAGTGATCTTAACTTATTAAATTCATCCATCA